TTAAATAAAACGTATTCTAACACAGACCTAAAAAGAATCTTCAAGTATACAAGTAAGGAAAAATACCGAAAACCTTTTTGCCATTAATAAAAAAAAAACAAAAAAAAACAGACAACATGCATTTAACGGATGTCCGAATTCGTTGAAAATTCACCCCTACCCTCCCTAAACATAACGTAACTCATAATTGATACAACAATAGTTAATAAAAATGAACACGCTACCGCCCCTGTCTGAATGATTGGATTTCTCTGTATCCTTGGAAGCAGTAAATTATGAATTTTTTATGTGAGTTTAAAACTCAGTAAATTTAAAAATAAATTATTCCAATGTTCGCTTGAAGATGAAACGGAACTAACGCTTTTAATTTACTTATATAATTAATTTCAAAGTTTTTAGCTTCCATTTTTGAAACATGGTTTTTACTATGTAGCGTAAAAACCATATTTTCAATCAGTTAATTTATAATATTTATGTTCTTTAAATTTTACATTGAGCACTGTTTTGTAAAAATAAAAAATATCAACAAGAACTCCGGATTATATATCTTACGGTTATTTCTTTCTTTCTTTCTTTCTTTCTTTCTTTATATATATATATATATATATATATATATACTTTCTATGCACCAGAAGTCATATAAAATGAATATTTCTCGCATATATATGTGTATATATGGCCGAATGCTTAGAACATTCAATTTCCGAACATAAAACTGGGTTCGATTGAAAACTCGTCATGATCGAATTGTCAGAGAAGTGACTTCTTGATATTGTCTCCATAGGGAAATGATCCCAGCAGCGTGTGGCATCATTGCAAAGTACCTGAAAAACCATGCTGCAAGTTGACCCTAGCATTGTGAGTGAAACTGGATAGATGGAACTGTTGAAAAGCAGTCAATTGGTGTGCCAGCACGAAGTCTCAAGTCATCATGGTCGAGGAATTGAGCGTACTGTTTTTTTTTCAATCACTGATCACAACAGATTATGCCCTCTCCCCCCCTCTCTCTCTCTCTCTCTCTCTCTCCCTCCGGCCCTGGGTATGACGATAAAGTACATCCTGCAGTAAAACCTCTGACCGGGAGATACGGAGGAGCGTGGAACCACCTGTTAAATTCTGTTGTTCCCAGGTCCACCCTTACCTGCGGTGGTAGCACCTGTTAGGGTCTCAGCTATGGACAAATAGCCAAGGCCCAAACAAAAATCAACCGTACGTTTTTTATAATAATATGACCAGCAATGCATTTTACAGGAAAATGGCAATCAGCGCAACACGAAAAAAATATGAAAATACATTTCTATAGTAAAATTACCAACAATACATTTTATATATATCTAAAAATATACCTTTACTCTGAAAGTATAAATTTATCTGTAAAATATATGTAGTTACAAGCATAAAAATACGTACAAAATATTTAGATTTCGGCATTGAATGACCCATACAAGTGGACATACCTCTTAACAAAATCAACCAACCAAATAATCAACATGAAAGAACACTTTCATGACATGAATCCATATAATATTCTACAATTTCTTAAAGAAATCCCTCTAGTTCAACCTCGTCATGGGTAAGACGATAAACTACGTCCAACAGCAAGGCCTCTGATCAGGAGGTTTTGAGGAGCGTGGAACCACCTCTTAATTCCTGGTGTTCCCAGGTCCACCCTGACCCGGGGTGGTAACACCTGTTAGAGTCCCAGCTATGGGCAAATAGTTAACACCCAAACTGGGTTCAAAACACTATGTAAGTGAAAAAATAGGTTTTAATACCAGAAATACTTTGTAAAAAAAATTATTACCAACAATAAGTTTTTGAAGAAAAAATTATCAGCAATACATTTTGGAAAAAAGATATTACCAGCTATACTTTTTTTTTTTTTTTAAATTACAAGCGATACACTTTTAAAAAAATAGATTTCTGAAAGAAAAAAAATACCAGCAATACATTTGAAAAAAAAATATTAACAGCAATAAAAATTTTGTCAGCATATCAACCGCAGTGGGTTATTTAATAACACATTAGAGTTGATATGCCGTAAAACAAAACAAACCAAACCAAACTGTAGTTCAAAATATAACTGCAAAACTGCAATATAAAATACACATATCACCGCCTCTAGTAATTATGTTCACACAAACATCTATCTGCATAAAAGCTGAGTATCATATACCATCTATTCAAGTGTGAAAGCAGAATAACTTACATTTTATTTTCTATCTCCAGAGAAAATTAAATTCGGAATTAAATGACCCATAAAGAGCTGTCATGCCATTAAACTAACAAATCAATCTCTGTCTGTCTGTCTGTCTGTCTGTCTGTCTGTCTCTCTCTCTCTCTCTCTCTCTCTGCATAGGTAACGAGTAAAGGAAAGAGAAAAGAGAAGGAAGATAGTAAAAGAAAAGTAAGAAAATGACTAAAAAGTTAGTGTTGATTTATAAAATGGCTTTATGACCTTGCAACGTATTTTAAATTATTGTTAATTCTACAACTAATTTTGGAATTTTTTTTTTCAGCAAGAGAATCAATCACCTTAGCGCGAAATGCAAATGCAGGACCGGCACTAGGAAAAAGAAAACATTAGAGAAGAAAAATACAATGCGAAACAAGGGAAGAAAAATGAAAAAGTAACAAGAAAGTAGAATTAAAGAACAAGGAAAGATAAATACGAAAAATAAGCGGAGGAAAAAAGAAAGATTTGATTTAATGAAAAAGGGAAAAATATGGAAATCGCATAGAAATAGAGAGGGAAAGAAAAATAATAGAACAATCGAGAAATGAAAGGGAAAACGATTGAACAAACAAAAAGAAAAAATAGGAGGGAAATAAATAATAGTTAAGATTGGCCTTAAAAAAAGAAAAACATTTGTTATCTGAATGATAATTTGGTAAGTAATAGAGACTACTTACTGTGTGTACAATACTACATATACATCTGTAGGGCTACAGATGCTTATATCACTTTGCTGGAGAGAAGTCGCGTCACTCACATGTCGGACCGGTTAGTGGCGTCACTCGATATAGTGAAGAAAGTGGCAGCCAAATTCAGTTTGTTTTCAGCAGCTAAACCGTAATGTCGCTTTCTTTAGCCCGTCACCTCCCATATCACTGGCAGAGGCTTACACATTTAGATGACAAATCCATGGCGCCGTTTCCATTTGGGAATATATTTCTAGATATATAATGAAACTGCATCTCGCAGTCCTCAATTTAGGAAAACCCAAGATGTTTTCCGTTTTGTGAAACATGTCCTCGTCTAGGATATAAATGAATCCGACCAGTTTGAATCTGGTGTCGTAAACATGGCTTCTCCAGACACAAGAGTATCTCCATATTATAAGACCCTTCTATTTTGTTTCTCCTTACACATTGCTTTGACAAATATTTATATGTGATATATTATTCTCCGCGTGGGACATATGTATATATAGTTTTGTGTATGTCTTTGTAATATAAAAGACTCTGAGAAAAAATCATGCTTGTCACTCCTTTTCCTTTCAGCCATTCTCTTCCGTGAATTCGGGTGTTATTATAACACGGATATAATAATGCCTATAACGGGAGAAATTCAAATGGCATAATAAATCGCTCCATTTACACTTCGATAGATTACGATCTTAATTAATATTCGCTATTATTCTACTACAAGCAGATATAATAACGATTTATTTACAAACCTCCCCCGAAGGTAAGGTATAAGATACGTTCGTTTTTAATGTGGGCTGCCCATACTCGTATCTATTGATGAAAGACAAAAGTTGAATATCCAGTCCCACAACACAGTGCTTCGTTGACGGTGGGATTTCACAAAAACGCTATTTTTAGGGCAATGGAAGGTGCTGTCACAGGGTTAGAATCAGGCGCCCCACAAAATGTAATAAGATGGAAATCACATAATCAGTTATAGGCCATGCGTGATACACCCTTAGGCGATCATGTATCTTTCGATACATGACTGACGAGGCAGATTTTTCCCGCAGTAGGTTGCCATTTCTTTCTGCGGTAGACCAGTTGCCATTCTTCAATTTACCCATAGGGAGAAGAGGATTCATACCTTTCCCAAGTTTATTAGCATGTAAGCGAATGTAATGGATTCTACTGGAAAGTCACTCTGTTATGTGCCATGCGTGATACACCCTTAGGCGATCATGTAACTTTCGATACATGACTGACGAGGCAGATTTTTTTTTTCCCGCAGTAGATCGCTATTTCTTTCTACGGTAAACCAGTTGCCATCCAAGGCTATAGAACTCGGTCTGTCCGGCATTGAGGATTCATACCTTTCCCAATCGAAATGGAATGTAATTGATTCGACTGGAATTCGAACTCGGCTCTCCAATTCCTCAATTCGAGCCGCTATCCATGACTCATACTACTGAAGTCAATAAGACAAAAGTCCATTACTGATTCTAGTGAGAACATTTTTCTATGTGACGTTGAAACAATAAATCCTCCCAGGACTAATCCTTCTGCAAAGGGTAGTGATGGTACTTGAAACTAGAACTATTAAAATAGCTAACGGATATGCCATTGGCTGACCATTACCATTCGTGATGCCAGTCAGTTTTAGTCGTTGCAGAGCGCGTGAATGACGGTAGGCGAGAGAAAGGGATTCAAGAGAAACAAAGCACATTTACCATGTACTGTTGATTGATTGATTCGTTTATTTATGGATTATCAACCTTTCCTTAGTTATTTAAAGCCGAAAAATATGTTGGAGTTTGATAATAATTATTGTACATTATTTACATTATTCAGATTATTGTCCTCATCTTTGTCGCCATATTTATCACAACGTTTCGGCCGTTGTACGCTCCGGCCTTCTTCAGGTGGTTGGAATATCGAACTGAACCCTTTATTTCGCTCACTGGGGTAGACTGTTCTAGTTCCACGTGCCATGTTTGATGGATGTCCGTTATCAGTTATCTCCTGCTAGTTTCCATCTGAAAGACTCTGAATAATTATTGTCTTTTACGAATGGCATACGGCCGCATCCAGTTAAAATATCGGTTCCCGTACGATCACCGAAGATAAGCAACGTTGAGCCTGGTCAGTACCTAGGTGGGTGACGGCTTGGAAATACTAGGTGCTAGACATTATATGTGCGGGTGATGTAATTGATAATGTCTCGGAATAGCTGGGTTCGTTATATTCACTCATGTACAATTATGCTTAGGAAAGGTATAAATATACCTCTTCTCCCCAAAGCTATGGGTCAATTAGTAAAACTTGCATCACTTATCAATTAATATCTCCGAACATTTTTTACAATCTGAAAATATGTCCTGGCTTTAAATAACCTGTAATGGTTTAATAAGCCGTAGAAAACAAGTCAGTCAATATTTTACGAGTGAAAGTAAATATAACGAACTCAACTGGATTGCGAACTTCGCTCTCCGATTTCTCACGCCGAATCGCTATCTATCACAACGCTGACCGTATAAAATATCCCGTCTGTCACAAGAGTTTAGACTTTTAATGAAGTGGTTATGTATATATTGTTTTTTTGTTTTTCTTGTTTTGGGCTCGGGCCAGTGTCAAATTCGAATTTAAATAACAGGAGAGAACACGAAAGAATATTCTGTTTTGTATAATTCTTTGAAAATAACGATTTTCATTAAACGTAAATAAATGTATACACCAACAGAAACATTCCGATAATATGATTTGTTTCTATTTTATTTTTGATAAATATCAATTGTTTGTACTGTTTGTAAAACTACAAACATGTATCATTGATTTTCGACAATCTCTAGTAATCATAAATGTCACTTTTTTTTTTCATTTCACTCCAAGATGCAGAGGGTTACTGAGTATGAAAGAATATAAAAAAAAATTATATTTTTTTAATCGGTTTCACCCTAAGCAAAGCAATACAGCCACTGAGACGAAGGGGAGGGGTTACAGGGGAGGAGGAATTAGGAATAGAAACGTTAATAATGAGCGGAAAGAATAATCAGGAGGACAGTAAAAAGCGAATGGTATTGCATATATATTTCTGAAGATTAAAGTTGGCTGGAAGGTATGGAGCCGGAAAGGAGTTCCACAAGGAAGAAATATGAGAAAAGAAACTGTCAGCATAAAATTTACGGCTAAATCTCGCCAGCTCAACTGTAAATTGATGAGATCTCGAAGCCAGTCTAGTACTGAGCTTAAATTCGGAAAGTCTATTTACCATAGCGAAGATTTCATCCGAACAATTACCATGAAAGTATTTATAGAAAAGGCACATAGGGGCAACCTTACAGCGGTAGGAAAGTGACTGAATCCGAGCTGCCAGATCAGGACCAATAATATTGCTGATACTTCTTTAGATTATATCAAGGAGCTCAAGGTAAATAACAGGGGCACCGGACCATATGTGGCAGCAATATGCTAAGGATGCACGAATGGTAGACTTATAGATATATAAGATAGATTCCGTAGAGAAAAATTGTCTTGCACGACACAAAGAGGAGAGAAGATAATGATTGATACTGCATGTAATTCTTGAAAATCAAATTTGACTGGAAAGCATGAAGCTGGAAGAGAGTTCCACAAGCATCTAGCCATTTCGATTGCAAAATCATGTGATTAATGACTGCGCTTAAATTCCTAGAATCTAGCTACCACAGAGGTGAATTAATCAGAACATTTACGATGAAAATATCAAAAGAAAAGACAGAGAGAAGCTACGTTGCGTCGGAGGGAAAGTGACTGAAGACGAAATGTCATTTACAAATAATTATTGTTTAAAACTGTACATCATCATCTCTCTGTGACAGTGATAATGGCTGATATGATAGTGATCGTGTTAAAATCAAACCCACTGAAAAATAATTGCATACAACACATGAAAATAACTGACTTGGTAACACAAATAATGCTAACAACTCATTATAGTCGCCATTTTTTCGATTAAAGAGTTAACAAGGCCGACAACTCTAATCAAACTTTATTCCATTTGGTTTTAAAAGTCCACCCTACACCAACTCTGTGATTAGTGCACTCGATTAAAATCTTTAATAGGATTCATTTCTGATAATCGTCATATTTTATGTTTGTGCGTGTCTGGGTGTGTGTGCGTGTGTGTACTGAGGAGAAGAGAGAGAGTGATGTTTTTTTTTTTATTATTATTTGCTTTTTCTTAGCCTTCTTTCGTATTTTCGCGTGTTTTTATATTTGCAGTTTTTATTAGCGATGGCCAGAGGAGAAGATATGTGTAGGTTGCAAATACATTCGGTCGGACAAGCGAAAAACTAACGAAACTTTTATTTTAAAGATGAAAAAATAGAAACAAAATAAGTTGAAAAGAAAACAAAAATGGAGACGAGGCGGGAAACGAAAAGGATTAATTGCCAACGACTTGACTCGAAGAAGAAAGGAATCGAATGAAGTAAGAAAAGAAAGAAAGAAAAAAAGAAAGGATGGAAGCGAAGGAAGGAAGGAAGGAAGGAAGGAAGGAAGGAAGGAAGGAAGGAAGGAAAGAAGAAAGAAAGAAAAGAAAGAAAGAAAAGA